TCAAATTCGTAAACCTGATAAAATCCATTCCTAAGACTTATTTTCATATGTGCATTACATCCACATCATGATTCAGGCCTACTATAACTGAATGTATCTTCTCTCTTATCTTCAGCACGAGTTCCTAATAATTTAAATTATTGTCTTAGTGCATCTAAAAATTATTATACTCCAAACAAATTACAAGTGGTCCATACCTTGACGAGAACAGAAAAATGTTCTCTGTTGTATTGTATCAGAGTTCTTTACTTTATGCTTACTACCTCTCCGGATGCTGAAACCCATAACTTTAGCATACTTGTTATAAAAGGAATAAGCCTCTTCATCAGATAAAAAATTCATTCCAATCTTTGGTACCCTTTCATTAATACGATCTTTCGCATTGCTAGTTGCGGTTTCTTGCACATCCTGTATCAATTATATGATCTTTCATTAACAGATGTTTAACAGATCTTTTCTTATATGATCTTTCATTAACAGATGTTTAACAACCATGTTTATTTGTCATCAGGGAAAGGGAGGATATGAAGAAAAAAAATCACTATGAAGATGAAAAGGAGGATATGAAGAATACAAGTGAGAATCTCACTGTTGGTGGTTCTGATCCATTATCATCATGGTTCCCATGACCACCCCCTGGAGAAGCCATCAGGGAAGGACAAGAAGATCCTTCGCTTCAATCTCTAGGTCGCTCCAGACTCAGAGACGTTGCATCTGCTTGACGCTGTTGATTGATGAATGATAAAGAGTCTCCTGATTGATGAATGATAAAGAGTCTCCTGATTGTTTCAGCAGGCTCTATTAATCTCTATATTTTCTGGTCCATTCTAATGCGATTTAGAGATAAGGATGTTGTTTTGGCGGGATTAAGAGATCTGATTGGGCGGGATTATTTCCCTCCATAGTTTTATTCAGTTTTGATGATCAGCAAGTATTACGGGTCTTTTTTTTGGGTAAAGCAAGTATTACGGGTCGATGTGTATTTGGAAGGATATTTTTGATTTTTTTTGTGCGAGAAAAACGGCCCCACGAGGGGAGGCAGGGATGGGCGGCAGCGATCAGCGGCGCACGGATGGGCGCACGTACGGGGCGCAGGTAAGCCCCGTCCCTGGAGTGGAGCTATATGCTATGCATGCATGCCCTGTGTCTGTGTGTGGCTAGATTGGGTCGATATCTGTGTGTGCTGTGCTGTGTTGTGTTGCGCGTGGATGGAGTGAGTGGGCGGCTGGCTTTTTTCGGGCACGCGTGCGACCCCCTGGGCCCCGCGCTTTTGACGCATTCGCTCTCTCCGTCGCCGTCCCCGTCGCTATAGATCGACCAGCGGCCGGCCGTAAGCATGACGTCAACCGAGCCGTCGTCGCGCCAAAGCTGTGCGTGCATTCACCGTGTTACATGCATGCAGTGTACCACCTTGCTAGGCTCAGGCCGGCCACCGTCTTCCTTCCATATGGGATTCTGCTGCATGCGTAATCCGAAAGATGAGTAATAAAATGCTACATATACATAGGTTTACAGGGGTTTTACAGGCAGGTAAGTTTTCATTGGAGATTAAGGAGGAGGGGCCCACCCCGTGAAAATCAGGGAAAGAGATTAGTTAGAAAGGAAAAAAAAATCCTAGTCAACGTGTAATTGCATGTAATTCTTTGTATGTTTAGAGCATCTTCAACAGCCGCCCAATGCGCGGCGCCCAAAAAACGGGTTTACAGCGCGCAAGCAGTTTTTTAGGGCGCTAGAAGACGTTTGCTCCAGCAAGTGCTGCAAAATATGCTGCACGCGCGAGTCCAACGGTCTCAATCAAGCGGTTCCATCTGCAGCAGCCCAGAGTTTGCAGCGCGCGCGACCGGGCGCACTAAATATGCTGCGTGCGATGCCTTTTTGATGCGCACACTGCATTAGTTATAGCGTGCGTGCTTTTTTGTGCGGCTGCTGGAGACTCCAAATCAGATCCGCGCGTGCTAAAAGCAGTTTTTATACCGTGCGTCGTTTATATAGCGCTTTTGTTGGAGATGCTCTTAGCATTATTGCCGAAAGAATGTCACGACGCGCGTCCGCGATGGTGCTGTTCTCTATCGATCTTCCTCTTCTCCTTTTTTGTGAGGGGCGTAGGTGCTGTTCTCAAGTCCACTAAATGTCGCAATTAGTACTCCTCTTGTAAACTAATAGTATATAAGAGTTTTAAATCACTATTTTAGTAACCTAAAAAATCTTATGTTAGTTTAACTAACACTCTTTCTGTATGAAAATAAATATCGCTGATTTAGTACAAAATCAGTACTATAAAGTTGTATTAAATCAATGACACTTATTTTGAGATGAAGGAATTACTATTCTAGTATGTCTTCTAACACATAAGAGCATATACAATCTGGATTGGCTAATTTCGATCACCAAACATCGGCGGAGATGCCGGGTTCTTTAGCAATTTGACACTGCTAAAAAAATAGGACGTTTAGCAATGATCCGCAGAGCCATTAAAGTCCCTAGAAGTGTGCTTAACCGAAAACAAAGCGAAACTTGAAGTTTTGTCCCTAATTTCATTGAAGATAGGCGTCAACTACGAATCTACAATCTGAAATTGTGACATGACAGTCAGCGGTTTACGACCTCTAAACAGTCAACCTCCATGACAACTTGCGAGAACCCTGTATGTTGAGATGCTCTAATAATCTATGTTAGTCGCACTCTGTCTATGCTACCCGTGAACACGACGGTTTCCAGCCCACAAGTAGTAGTAGTAGGAGAAATGGCGTTGACCATGGTAGGCATGCAAGGCATAGCTAGCTTGTGCATTTCGGTCGCATTGCACTGCGCTAGCTACTATACTAGCATCTTAACTAAATATAAACACTCCGTCGTTAAGCAATTCTCTAGGAGAAGAAAAATAAGAGGAATAATGCAAGCATTTGGCTGGTCTGAACCCACAAGGGAATATAAGTGCATGGAGGAAAAATCCAAAAAGAAACGAGGGAATCATAACGATCCAAGACAAAACATGGGGTGCATGCCTGCCTACGCGTGCGATGTGTGGGGGGTTCTTCCATCACGTCGCCCACCCCCAAACGAAACTGACGTTTTTGTATCTGCATTCTCAAGTTCGCAGAAAAACATGGCCGGTTCTCTCTGTTAATCAAGGGTACACTCTTCCACTCAAATGCTATAAGATTTACTTTGTGTTTAAAATGCATAATATGCTAGCTACAATTATTTGATCGGCAAGCAAAGCATGCTACGATTTGTAGAATATGTCTCAGGGCATGCATGTAATTTGCATCGGACCGTGACGTTGAGTTTATCTTCTAGTGGTCGGGAATGCTTAACAATAAAATAAATAAAGGCTGATAGTCATAATTTAGCTATAGTTACCAGCGAGAAAGTAATTCGCTAGGATAGATTAGATCACTTGGAGGCGACTATAGTACACGCAAACAAGACTTCTTGGCACAAAGATTAGGTGCAACAGTCTGACTATTGCAGGAAACGTTAGGCGATTTCATCTCAGACATTCCTTCCACCAGTTGGTGTAATTTATTTGCTTTGGGTTGCTATCACCAGCAAGACTCCCTTTCTGGGGTCAAGACCTTTGATTGATTAGTTCGAATTTATGCCCTAGTCCTATTCCTTTGTTTTTATTTGTAAGAGATAACATATATTATTTATGCTGATTTGATGTATTTATCCTGATTCCAATGTGTGAAACATGGCACCGGGCCATAAATCAAGTATTGAATCCATGCTTTTGTGTAATCTCAATATTCCTAAATCCTTACCATTATACATCTAGCGTGTGCTCTGGGCCTCTGACTTAAGAATCACTAAAGAGAAGATTGAAGGATCGGAATTTCTTGATAGTATAGCTAGATGTGACTTGTCTGGAACAAATATGGAGCAATTTCCTTTTTGTCTGGGCCTTCTTTTTTTGCAAAGAATTTTTCGTATGTATTGAGATACTATCTTTATCATGGATATTTTAATTAGTCTCCAAGACTATTCCCTCCAATCCATATTAATTGTCACTTGATTTTCTAGAAAGCGTACAATAACTAAGTTTTTTCTTTGACTACTATCACTAATAAATAATTTATGTTTGTCAGATAAAAAGTTATACCATTAGATCTACCATTAAAATAAGCTTCAAAATGTAAAATCTTAAATACCGCAATTGTTTCGCACCAAGCCAGCCCTTTATGGTTGCTCGGACACATAGGGAACCTGCCTGTTCGCTAACAATGCAAAATCACCACATGCCCACATATAGATGAAATAAACATTTTATAATTTTGAAAATGAATTACTTTCAACCCTAATGTCCAAATCTACCTTTTGTTGCAAAGAATATTTATACTTTTTTTGGAAAATAACAATTTTATTAAAGCATGAAAGTTGATTCAAGTAAACAAAACTGGGCACAACAAACAAACGTTATGAAAAATCATTGAAGACAAACAATTATGACGAAATGAATTGCTTTTCATCTTTGATGAATATTGAACCATAATATTTTTTAGTTCTTTAAGATAGAACTCATATCATTGAATTCCATTAGAAACAATTTCACAATGTAAAATTTAAACATAAGTATTTATATTGGTTAAAGTTGCTCGATCACTAGAGATTGTGCAAAACCCAAAACAATGTCTATTTGGGAACAAAGGGACTAGGTCTCTTTTTTTCGGTAGTCGAGATAGGATCATAAAGCATGCACGTCAAAAACCTAAGACCATAATGTACTCCCTCCGTTCCATAATATAAGAGCATTTTTGAAAAATGCTCTTATATTATGGGACGGATGGAGTAACATACTAGTACTACTACAAGACAATCGAGTTAAAGAAATTACAGCCCAAGTAGTGCGGTTGCTTTTCATTGTAATTCTGGTCGGTTAATGGCTTTATCAATTCAAAGGCTTGGTTTGCCTCCAGCTAATATTTTAAATAAAAATAGAGCATGACAGTGCTGTTCTCTAGTGACTGATCTTGGGTTGCTGAACAACCGCTTGGATCATGATCAGTTGCACCAGATCAATTTTACTTACCAAGCTGACGCAATGCCGGAAGACCGCCAGCGACCCAACACCCCGGCGGTCAGGTAGGCGAAATTCTCCTCGCCGCCCTTTCCAAACGGTTTATATATACCCAAGACACACAACCACATCTTTTCCACTGCCACTACCCCTCATCTTAGCTTCACCCCCTTTCCCCTTCCCCTCCGCCCACCCAACAAGCACTCACCACTCCCTTGCATCCCAGCTTGCTTGCATCTCGCTCCTCTCCGCCGCACACCGAGAAGATCGACCAAGAAACGGGGCGGCGTCGGTGGATCGGTCCGTTGATATGGGAGATCATCAGCTGATGTACGCTGCTCCGGCCATGCACAACGGCGGCGGCGGCGGAGCTGTCTCACACGGCATGTGGTGGAATACCAACACAACCGCGGTGCCCGCGGCGGCGTGCTCGACGGAGCTCGCAGGGTTCAACACCTGGCCGGCCGCTCAGCTGGCTGCTGGTGGCTACGACATGGCGGCGGCCGACGGCGGCAAGGCCAAGAGCTGCACCACCACGGCCTCCTCCGAGTCGCCCGGGAACAACAGCTCCGTAACCTTCCAAGAAACAGCCAGCATCAGCGACCCGGCAGCCGGCTTCACCGACTGGAATAGCCCTTACATGTGAGTTGTTCGATTCACCTACCCTTGCTGGATCAGTTTACCCTCCGTGATCTCGTACTATCAAATGATATGTATGGTGATGATGATAGATAGATAGTTAGATGCATACTTATCTACTCCCGTGACTCTAAAATTGATTAATGAAATCTATGTGTATGTGCGTGTGTTTTAACCTTTTCACAGGAGCAACGGCGGCGCTGGTAACATGCATGGGTTCCTCCAAGTTGGCCACCATGACATGAGCTCAAGAACGGACCAGCAGAGCCACATGAACGCGTCAAGCATGCTGAATGACCCATCAGCAAATAAGCTAGACCTAGCGCTGCAAGGCCACCAGCAGGCCGGCGATCACCACCGCCAGCAGAAGCTATTGTCCAGTCTGGGGGCGCCCGAGCTGCTCCTGTCGCCGAACTCACCCTACGGGTTCCAGTCGTCGTCGCTGCTGAGGAGCCTCTTGGAGCCGATGGCCAAGCCGGCACCGGCGGCGGGGATTCAGCAGTACCAGTACCAGCAGATGGGCGGCCAGGCAGGGGTCAGGGAGCCGCTACAGTTCACCAACGATGCGGCGTTCTGGAACCCGTCTGCCGGGTTCGGCATGGCGATGCCAGCGCCGGCGGTGTCTGAGCAGACTAGCGTGCGTGCGGTGAAACGACCATCGCCGGCGCCGCGTGGGGCAAATCTTGCACTAAAGGTAAGCTTGTGCCAGTGATTACTCTAGCATGGAGTAGACAATAACACAAGAAACTAAATGAATAGCTGGCTAATAAGTTAACCTTCTTTGTCTGTAGAGTGTGTTAGAAGGAGTGGGGGACTCTAGCTCGATCGTTACCAAGAAGGCGAACAGCGAGCCGGCATTCAAGAAGCCGAGAACGGAGACTCCGTCGTCATTGCCGACCTTCAAGGTAGGCATCATCCCATAGTCCCATACATACCTATGTATCTACCATGCAGAATTGCAGATGCATGCATGGTCAACTTAACTTACAACCAGCTGGTTGTTTCAAACTCCACACGCATTATTTGGTGCATGTTGCGTGGATCAAAACCCGTATTATATATGCATCTTTATTGATTATTAAAGTTGCTCCACACATACATTACAGGTTAGGAAGGAGAAGCTAGGGGACAGGATCACAGCACTCCAACAGCTCGTCTCTCCTTTCGGAAAGGTAATCAAGCGAGCTGTCCAGCTAGTTTAGCTAGGCTTTTCATGTCCAATCGTCCAATGTGCATTACTCAAACCAAACGTCCAAGGAGTTTATGAAAAATATCATTACACAAACCAGTAGAGTGCTGCTTGGAAGTTGGATCCACATCATATATATATATATATATATATCGTCAACCACATGCATGATCTTGTCGCTGCTGCAAAAGCGTTGTTCCTTTCCTCTCCTCGATCCTTTCGAGAGATTTGACAGACACACATGCGTCTAAGTCTAACACACAATCTTAACATTTATCGTTGCGCGTGCGTGCAGACGGATACGGCGTCGGTGCTCCACGAGACCATCGAATACATCAAGTTCCTCCACGACCAGGCTGGTGTAAGTGCATGTGCCAAGTGCTTTTGATCATGGCATCTGGAGCACGCACGCACGCACGAGCTCTATCGATTTCCTCACAGGAGACTAGCTAGATGTTGGAGACCGAGCTCATGAACATTTGTTTCTGCATCCATGCAGGTGCTTAGTGCTCCATACTTGAAGAGGGGCCATCATCAGCATCAAGTGCCACAGTACCTCAAGGTATACACATGGCGTGGTTGCTGCATCTGCATGCTTGCTCTTTCCCACTTCCCATTGCCACATGAATACGAATACCATCTCCTAGTGCATGCCTGATAGCTTTTGCATCTGTTTGTGTTTGGTCACAGAGCTCGAGTGCTAGCCCTGACAAGTCGTGCAAGGATGGCAGCGGCGAGGTGTCGCTCAAGGGCCGGGGGCTGTGCCTGGTGCCGATATCGAGCACGTTCGCGGTGGCCAGCGATGGGCCCGTCGACTTCTGGACCCCCTTCGGCGGCCAGTTTAGGTAGACGAAGGCTCGCCGGGTGGAACGAACGTGCGGCGCAGATCGATCCGACGGCGTTCCTCGATCAACCATGATGATTTAGTATCTATATAAGTAGCTCATGATCGTAATTTGTAACGGATAGCACTACGTACGTACTGATGAAGCTATATGGTTAGCTAGATGAACCTTTGGAATGAGTGCTTCAAGACTTGTACTCATTCTTCAGGTTCATCAGGGAATAATCAATGAATTTGACTAAGGGACCAGCTAGCTGAGAGGACTGAATTATGTCATAGTGATCATCCGATCGTCGTCGTCGATCGGGTTCGTATGATTGGTGGGTTCATATGATTGGTTGTTAGGCTTGCATCATCGATCGGTTGTGTCTAAGAACTAATTTAATGGTTCGGTACTTTAATCCAGTACGTGATGGATCAAAGCAGATCTGTCTGTAGCAGGTTTCATTCTCTACGGATATATTGCAGTACTCCCTCCGTTTTTATTTAGTTCGCATATTAACTTTGATCAAAGTCAAGCTTTACAAACTTTGACCAAATTTATATACAAAAATATTAAGATATACAATAACAAATCAACAACATTAGATTTATTATTAAATGTACTTTCACATCGTATAGATTTATTATGATAAATGTCTATATTGTTTTCTATAAACTTGGTCAAACTATACGAAATTTGACTTCAGTCAACTCTAATATGCAGAGTAAATAAAAATGAAGGGAGTACCAAATTGATTAATAAAAGTGGCATCTCTCTTTGATTGACCTCAGCAGAGTGTGTCTTTTGCTAATATAAGCTTCTCTTTTGAACCTGACCACATGTTTTGGTATAATATAAGCAGGGCTTTCAGAATTTGTGCATGCATGCGTGTCCTTTTCCTTAAATATTGCCAGAATCTTTCAGGCTAAATCATTCCATTTCTATGCTAGTGGATTATCGGCATGCGTAAGTTCTTCGCAGGCATATTCTATACTGCGTGTGTTTCTTGTTATGTGGTCTACGTTGCAGTCCTGATCGGTACCAACCAAGCTGTAGTATTTTGTAGAGTATTGGGTAAGAAAGATGAACTCAACATACGTGTCTCTTCTGGTATGAGCGATGAAATTCAACCGAAAACGAACCGTGGCACAGAAATTCAGGTAAGTTCGACACGCCGAGAAACGACTGAATCTCAACTGTAGTCTTGCACTGAAACTAGACTGCTAGAGAGTATTTGCCCTAGCAACAAGCTAATACCCCATCTCCTCTGCTTTACGTTTTGGTGGTATCGCACCAATTTCCAGTACACTTTTAGGTCTTGCTGAGTCTATCTGTGTGGATGACTGCTGAAATGAAAAGAGTGAAGCACCAGTTTTTCTTAGAAAGCTGAACATCGTAGTGGGATGGTTGGCATAAAATGGATTGATCTTTACGGAGATTGCAATAAAGTACTTGGAAGAGATATATAAAATGTAGTATTACTTAATTTCTCCTTGGCCCACAATTTTTCCTGTGGTATGGATGTAAAGTCGAACCTCTGATTGTCCTGTTCTTGGGGCAAAAGAAGCTTGTGCACTTGTCAATTGGCATACAACTTGACTCTGTTTCCTGCCACAAAAAGAACTAGCGTTAAGGTTTGAATTTGACTCTGTTTTCACCTTCAATAAAAGCTACCACCATGCAGCTCAGCACCCTAAGTTAGTGTAATGGTCGAATTCATAAAGCCAGCATGCAAGACAAAGTTCAGCAACATCCGATCGTGCAGAGACCAACAGTAAAGTTCAACACCTTTATCTTGATTCTCCGGCAGAACCATGGATACACCGAAGGGGCAAGCCTTTTGAAAAGAAATTCTGGAAGTTATCAGATGGTCACGAGTGACCATATTTTTTCAGAAATGAAGGAGGATCCCCGGCCTCTGCATCTGGACGATGCATGGAGCCACTTTATTAATTATTCACACAAGACCTTACAAAGTCATGCAACAGTAAGACTAAAGTCATCGTCTAGGCAACATTTGTCTCTACTCCTATCCAGTTGATGTAGGGATGCTGATAGTCTAGGCCTAATACCAAACAGACCTCGCAGCCAAACCTAACATCTAAGACCTGAGGTCCCAACCAGGATGCCTGCCGGGTATGGGGCACCCATCAGTCCGGCACACTCCTCAATCAGGACGCCTGCCGGGTATGAGGCCGCCGCAGCCACCTGCCACCACTCCATCTTCAGTGATGTACTGTTGCATCTACCTTACCTGGTCTAGCTGCCGCCGACGTCACCATGACGCCAGACAACGCCACTATCCTACGCTCGTCCATCATCACACACCCACCGGCGAAACCCCGCTGCTCCATGCCGCCGAGACTCGCCGTTGTCGACGCGAGAGAATGCACGCCACACCACCTCACGCCTCTTTCATCTGGCGCCGCTCCACAAACGATGCCCCCAATAGGGAACACGACACCGCAGCGCCGCCATCATCCGATCCGGAGATCTTAGGATTTCTTCCGGAGCGGCACGAGCAGGTTGACGATACCTTCATCAAGGTAACGATGTAGACGCCGCCATCGCCCGCCATGACCAGAGTCGGCTCGGTTTTCACCGATGACTATGTCTCCCCAACTCGCCGCCAGTGCTAATAGTGGGATCCACGATCCGTCACTACCAGTCTGGCCAACCGCCTTTGGTGGAGAAGGCAGCCACCACCACCATGCCCGGGCCAAGAGACCCGGACGTCCTCGTGCCGCGAAGATTACCCAATCCTCTTGCCGTTGTCGAGTCGAGGCGCAGCCACAGTGGATCTCGATCTAAACCCCTCGGGCCCAGATCAGATCTCATTGCAGGCAAATCTCATCCGCCAAGCGGCCGCCGGAGATCTCCTGGCCACCGCCAACCCGCTTTGCACTGCCGTTGGAGGAGGAGGGAGATGGACGCCGCTACCCCCACGCGTTACCGCCGGCCGGGGACTGCGCCGCCGACGCCGCCTCACCACAGGGGTTTCGCCCTGCGGCGTCATCAACGACAGCGGCGGTAGAGGGAGGCGATGGAGGGGGAGGGATGAGGGCGGTGTGGACGGGGACTCCCCAGGGGCGGCGCGGCGCCGCCGCCTCGTGGGAGAGAGGACCCCAGACCTCACGAGTGACCATATGCACACGCGCTTCAATATTATTGTTTTGAAGTGAAAAAAAACTATATGAATGATGAAACTATGAAAGAGGTAGTGCAAATGCAATTGCTAAATATTTTAATGTGATATCTGAAACTTCAGAGGAGGTATATGTGATTCCGGGTGAGTTGGGCTTACTATGGTCGTCTTACAGGTTCAAGATCACTTGAAGAAAATAACCTTTGTACCTTTCTGATAGACACTGGGAGATTCAAGGAAGCACCACTTTTCTGACTATTTGTTAAGGACGAAGCTGAACTTCCAGCAGTTTTCCATACTGGGCAATGAGTCCAAGCAGCAAGAACAGGCCGACCAGCGCTGTTCCGAACAATAGCACCAAAACAGGATTGAGCAGTCAATGGACCAGAGCTATCATCAGTATTAGTTTTAAACCAACCATTGGAGGAGGGCACGGCACGAACGTGAAAGAGGCTTCTCCACCAGCAGTTGGCCACTGAAACCCACTTGGCAGTGAATCATAATCTGCTTCCCTTAGGCGTTCCAGGGCACTCAGATTACCTCAGTGCAAGGAATCATGAGCATCTAGCGCCCTGCTAGCGTCGCCAGGCTTGCGTTGTTAACAGAGTCCTCCCCTGCTTCTTCCGCTTCATGCCTCCTTCCAACAAAATACAAAGGCTGCTCTGGTGTTGTGAGTGGCACGGCCTCATTGTCCAGCATAGACACGACTATCGACATGAGTGGCCTGGCCTGGCACACAAGAGCCCAATATAAATGCACAGCGACACCTCATGCAGTAAACAGCTCTTCAGAAGCACCGTGTCCAGGAAATCCCCCGATTTTCCTTCTTTCAGTCAATTCCATGCCTGAAACATGGTCGAGCATAATCAGTTAATAACATTTTTATTCGTTGTGTTGTACTTGGCCAAATTCGAGGCATTTGGTAGCACTTATGTAACCTATAACGTTTCGGAAATCACTCATAATACAGCGAGGTCAGCTGATCTTCAACCCACTTACAATCTCCAGTAACAAGATCCCATAGCTATATGTGTCGGACTTGACAGAGAAAAATGCCTCCTTCCAAGGCATATTCAGGCGACATGTCCTGTTTTTTCTGTGGCATGGATATATAAAGTTGAACCTCTGATGGTCCTGTTATTGGGACAAACGAAGCATGTGTACTTGTCAGAGAACTTGACTGTTTCTTGCCACAGAAAGAGCTAATGGTAACCTTGGAGTTTAACTCTGTTTTCTTTTTTCTTTTTTTTTTGCGGGGGAGTTTAACTCTGTTTTCAACTTCAATGAAAGCAACCACCATGCAGCTCAAACACCCTAAGTTGGTGTAATGGTCGAACTCATAAAGCAACATGAAAGACAATGTTCAACAACTTCAGATCGTGAGGAGACCCAAAGTCAAATTCAGCACCTTTATCTTGATTCTCCGGCAGCACCATGGATATACTGAAGACCTGTCTTTTGAAAAGAAAAAAAATCCTGAACTTACCAGGCCATCACAATTGACAGTATGCATGCGCACTTCAAGATTACTGTTTTGAAACGTAAACAATACTATCTCAATGATGAAACTATGAAAGAGGTGGTGCAGATGTAGTGGCTAAATGTTTTTTTTATTGTGATGTCTGAAACTTCAGAGGAAATATATATGATTCGGGATAAGTTAGGCTGGCAATTTATTCTGGTCTTACCGGTTCAAGATCACTTGAAATGACCTTTCTACCTTTCTGATAGATACCGAGAGATTCACAGAAGCCCCACTTTTTTCTTACTTTTCTGTTCAGGTCGAACCTGAACTTTCAGAAGTTTTCCATACCTGAAGTTTTGCCCACTCATCTGAATAAATAAAAGATTATTGTCAGAATTCGGGCGTGTACACCAATCTCACTTGCCAATAGCAACATAACATAAAAAAAAATGGATTTCACAGTAAGATGCCAGCTAAAATCGAACATATAATTACTAGCAGCCTTTTTACCAAATTAGCAATTCAGAGCTTCAGACCATTGACTAACCGAGGAAGCTGGATACAGACAAAATAAATCAGGTAGCCTCCTCCACTTGACAAGGTGAGGAACATATGAGCAAAATACGTAAATTCCACACATGGAAACCATCTATGAAAATAACCCACGACCAGGATTACAATGCACTCAATGGATTATTTATTTATCCATAGGAATATGAATTGCTGAACTGTTCACCTATACAAACTAGAGAAGTTTACAAAAAAGGAGAACAATGAATTAAACATCTAACGCCCCTCTTGCACAGTGATAGTCATCTTATTCAGGGTTATTCCCATGGTATCTCTTTGGTCTTCAACCTCATCATATCGTTGCCTAAAGTATAGAGGCTCCTTCGGAGTAGGAAGCGGGGCCGTTTCATTTTCTAGCATGAACACAGTGGATGACATGAGCGGCCTGGCACTTGGATTGTCTTGAACACACAAGAGACCTATATGAATACATCGTAGAACTTCATGAAGTGGACAGTTCTCCACAATGGACGAGTCCACCAATTCTCTTGCATTTCCATCTTTCCATAAGCTCCAGGCCTAAACCAATTAAATCCTTAAGTTAGTATGATTGTTTGAGTTGTTGAATGTTAGAGCATTTTAGTTTACTTACGTAAGCTATAAGGTTTGTAAAGTCCGTCATGAAATGGGATGAACTGATCTTTGACCCGCTTACAATCTCCAACAATAGAACGCCAAAGCTATATGTGTCAGACTTGACAGAAGAGGAACCTTCCATTGCATATTCAGGAGACATGTAACCACTGTTTTAATCATTCCACGAAACTTGAATTAGTTAAGCTGTAAAAAATTAGCATGTTAAGCCTTAGCGGGTGCATATATTACTTACCATGTCCCAACAACGCGGATAGTGTTTGCTTGTTGCTCATTTCCTTCAAATATCCTTGCCATACCAAAAATCTGATATTTTAGGGTTCATTTCTGCATCTAACAAGATATTGCTTGCTTTGAGATCCCTATGAATTATTGTTAACCTTGAATCTTGGTGGAGATAAAGAAGACCTCTCGCTATCCCTTTAATTACCTTGAACCGGGTAAGCCAATCAAGCACAGAATTTCTTGTTGCATCTTGCAAAAAAAAACATTAACGATCATCACATAATGTTGTGTGAGACGTGACCATAAGTTAGAACATACCAAAAAGGAAGGCATCCAAGCTTTTGTTAGGTAAGTATTCATATATCGATAATTTTTCATCTTCATGAGTGCAGTAACCAAGAAGTCTAACTAAGTTTCTATGCTGTAATTTGGCAATTAGAACAACTTCATTTCTGAACTCGTCGGCCCCTTGGCCGGAACTTTTACTAAGCCTTTTGACAGCAACTTCCTTACCACCACCTTCTAATAGTCCCTACACAAACACACCATCCTTGAGCAAAAGAAAAAGGCAAAAAGTGTTATCAATAATGAGACTAAATTTTCTTGTTACCTTGTAAACTTTTCCAAAGCCACCTTTCCCAAGCATTTTGTAGTCTGAGAAATTGTCTATTGCAGTAACAATGTCTTCAAAGCAAATATATGGAAGGTCTATACTTTCATTCTCAAGTTCGTTCAACTTAGAATTTTGCAAGTGCTGTCGTGTATGTTTGTTCTTAATCTCCTTGATTCGTCGTTTACCTGACACCGACAGGAATAACTAGTATGAGTATTTTTTACGAATAGCTCATAAAACTTGCATCCTAAAAAGTGAAGTAAATCTTGTTATACCTCTTGACTTGCATATCCACACAAGGCAGATGGATGCGAGTATCAGCAGACCAGCCACTATTGGGAGTATAATCTTCAATACATTACTCTCCTTGTCAACTGCAGAAAGCCAAAGGTATAGTCCAGCAAGAGAATGATGCTTTCAAAATTTAATATGCACTACTTGCAAGTGTTGTGTTTGTTGTAATTATTATGCCATCCTAAGTTTCCTAACCACATCTAGCCATTACAGGGAGTACAATCTTCGACAACTTGCTCTCTTTGTAAAAAGCTAGAAATATAGTCCAGCAAGAGGATGATGCTTTCAAGATTTAACATGCATTTCTTGCAAGTTTTGCAGTTGTCCTGATTGGTATGTCATCCTAACCACATCTAAAATTCAACATAAAGGGTAATACCTATTGAACTGGCAAGACGGAGGTACAGATATACCGTTGATCAAACCATACAAGATATAACCAATAAGTGCACAAGGAAAGATATATACCTGTTGAACTGGCAAGGCGGAGGTACAGGTTCTCACCACCACCATCATGAAATTTCCCCGTGTCGACAAGTCCTCCCAACCAAATTAAGCACCTTGACTGGTCCGCATCCCCACTTCCATTTTTCAGGTTAGCATAAGCCCTTTCATTTTTCAGGTTAGCATAAGCATATGCGGAACAAGAGCAATTGCGACTGCACTCTTCTGTGCATTGGTCAAAGCTTCTGTTCTTGACATACAAGAACTTGTCAGGTGTCTTCATACCTCTCAGGGTCGAGAAATTATTGTCTTTACCACATTTCAGATCCTCCTTTCTCCGACACCCTTTGGAGAAGTTAACACCATCAGGCTCAAACCCACTGAGGCAGTTGCATTTCGGAACTGTTTCAGTGGCATCACAGTAGCCAAATGGTCCGCAATACGCATAGCGTTCACAGATAGGACTAGGATGCTCTATGAAAGCCTCCCATGATGATGAGTTGCTGTTCCACACCAGAAATTTAAAAGTGCCCTTGTAGTCCAGCATCATGCGCATGCTTGGTGATCCCTCGGAGACGGTGAATGTCATGTATAACTCACCCCCTCTGTCAACAATTGTTTCAGTTACGATGAAGCCAGTAATGCTTTGATACAGGGCAGAGACCAATGACCCATCCCACGCAGATCTGCGCCAATATGGTCTCGTCCCATTCCAGATGACAACCTGGAGGTCTGAGCTGGAGTCACCACCCATGGAGTAGTCGCTGGAGGCCGGGTCATCAGGGCCCCTCCAAGCAACGAGGCGCCTCAAGATACCATCATTTGTGCTCAGTGGTAAAACCATGTCAGGGAGGGCGGTGTCGGTCGGGTAATGGAAGCTCTGCCATATGCCTGTGCCGTTCGGCAACCGGATGACCAAGTTTCCGGGGTCCAACAGTATAGCAGCAGTTCCCGTGGTTGCGGATGTGAAGTTGTTTGTGGTTGTCCAGAGAGTATGGCCTTGGGAGTCAGACAAGACGAGGTCAGAGTTACTGCTCACAACCAGCTTCCCAGAAGAACCATTCTTGATCGGGTTGTCGCGGTTAGCAACCCAAACATAAGTGCGCTCGGGGATCTTGTTGTACCATATGCCGATGTACGAGTCCGCAGTTGAGTTTGCCGGGGTGAAGAAGCCAAGAGCAAAGACGCCGCCGCTCGAAACGAGCTTGTCGCCGGCATTGAGCGGTTTTGCGGGAGTAAGGCGGTCATCCGATTTGCAGAAACAAACCAATGACAGGAGGACAAAAACTGGGAGGGGAGTCATACCTTCTTTCACATATGCCTGTGATCAAATGGAAGGAGATGTTTTCATATGGAGGCAATGAAAGGAGAAGGAGGATGGTATGAAGATGCTTGGAGCCTTGGACGATCTAATGCTGCTCTGACTTTTTGTGTGGTTTTTGTTCAAGATAAGCTCATCAGTCATCACATTTGCAGGAGTATGAGTGTCCAGCTTTGCCCGGAACGTTGATGATTCTAGGACCACACAAGGTGCAAGAGCGAGGATTATTCAGCATTGTTTGCCGGTCGCCGTCGGGAATTGCCCATCAAGAAATATCTCGTGGGCTACAATTCTTTGCACAGTTGCTCTTGCATATGAAAGCGTGGGCTTAGTACTCCCGAGAATGAGTGGCTGCACGTCTATCAACCGTGCTGATAACTTTATGATTCGGTTCAGGGATGAGTGCTTGCTACGTATTGCTAGAAGAAAATACTCTACTATGTATTCACCAGTGGGTCGCACGTTCACACAGGGTATGTGGACGAATGGGCCAGTCATAACTCCCAACGCTCCAAGTCAATGCCTCAGTTTTCTCCATCTTTCTCTTTCCTGCACTTATATCAACCATTGCAAGGAAATTACCATTACAGATTGTGCCATTTGCAAAGCATCATGCATTCCCAAAAGCCGGGCATCAAAATATAATGTTAGGTCCATTTGCATATAAAAAAATATATTTTAGATTAGCTTGACTGGTCACGTCATTAAGCAAAAAATACATGTGCCACTCACAATATTGACTGTTTGTCAAATCCAGTACTCCCTTTGTTCCTTTTTAGTTCGCATTTTAGATTTGTCTCAAGTCAAACTTTGTAAACTTTGACAAACTTCATATTGAAAAATGTCAACATCTTCAATACCAAATAAATATAATATAAAAATATATTCTACACCCTCCATTTCTAAATATAAGTTTTTTTAGAGATTTCAAATGGACTACCACATACAGATGTATATAGACATATTTTAGAGTGTAGATTCACTCATTTTGCTCCGTATGTAGTCACTTATTGAAATATCTAGAAAGACCTATATTTAGGAATGGAGGGAGTACAATGCATGTAATGATATTGATTTGGTATTAGAACTGTTGATACATTTTTCTCTACAAACTTGACCAAACTTTATAAAGTTTGACTTCAGTCAAACCTAATATGCAGCGTAAAAAGGACCGGAAGGAGTACAAATCTCCTAGGGGACATGTGCACCGATTTTTTTTCTCAATATTACCCACGGAGTTATGTATAGAAAATTTTGGAGCTTAGCCAGACAAATGAATTACCTCACCAGTTAACACACTCGATTCACGTAAACAAAAACAAATGCCTACCAGTACTAGTATGGTTTGGGGCATGCTAACACGGTAATTGCTTTAGATAGATTGATGGAGTTAGGGCATCTCCAACAGGTTGTATGTTAGTCTTGTTGGTAAAATGTCCATGTCATCAACCAACAAGCTATCATACAACTACTCCAATGGGTTGTATGTAAGCTATCCAATAGATGGTGAGACAATAAATGTGATTGCTCTCTATTTCATCTTGGAGCTTGTGCAAAGGTTGTTGGTTAATCTACATACAACTTTGCTCTCTCTCCACATTTAATACATGCCACATCATCACTATGTCTTAGGTGGCAAATTTACCAATACATATCTCACAACTGTTGGAGATGCCCTTAGTAATTTCACAACTAGACCCCTTGCGGACACGGATTTGGAGCTCTTGGGTGCCCGTGAACCCTATATGAATAGTAAAATAAAAAATACCAGGAAAAAAATCTGAATTTTCGGGTATCAAACCTGCCTGATCATTCTACTTCCGTGTGAAGCTTCATGAAGAAATGGACATCCGTGGTATTCTCAGCCGTAAGTCAAAAATTTCGATTGTACAAAAAAACTGTATGAATGAATCATAGGTCGGATTGCATTTTCTTGGCTAGGAATACCACTGATGTCATTTCTTCAGGAAACTTCGCACGTGAGTAGAATGACCGACCAGGTTTGATACCCCAAATTTTCAGAGTTTTTTAAATTTTCCTGGCATTTTTTTATTTTACTATTCATATAGGGTTCACAGGCACCTAAGAGCTCCTATGCATTTTTTTGTTCAGGACATTAAATTTAGGACCCACACATGTGAACAGGGGACGGTATTTGCCTGTATATTTGGCCATTTGACTCTTCTAACAAAACAAAAGGCACAAATCTCTATGGTTACTACATGAAATTTAAGATAGCCAGTACAGCCGGTCACCATGTTCAGATTGTCCAAGAAAAGAGGTCTGAAATAAAAAGGAAATACAGTTTATGTATGGATTCCAGTAAAATACCGGTACTCTATTCCATAAGATTTGAATAGAAATTAAGTACTCCCTCCCTCCGATTCATATCACTTCAATAATTAGTTTGACCAAGATTACAGAAAAAATATCAACATTCACAATACTAAACGAATATCATAGATCCACCGTGGAATACATGTTTTTCATATTGTTTCTATTTTGTATTGTAGATGTTGGCATGTTTTAATCTAAATTTACTTGAATTTTACTACAAAGTTTGACTTAAGACATACTGTAATTAATATGCGAAGTAATATGAAACGGAGGGAGCATTGCAAAGAAGAAGAAAGGGGATATGAGAAGAAATGGGTCACCGTCAGTCAGGCGGAGCTCCGGCAGGGTAGCTCGTGGCGACACGCCGACGGCGTAGGGGCAGATGGTGCACCATCCCGAGAGATTATTGCCATTGGGGATACATCTCTGCCGAAGGAACGCTGTAAGCATGGCGGGCCCATTGCTGCTGGCGATGGCGCACGGCGGGGGGAAAGTGGAATCAGCGGGGTGTGAACACGATGGCGTGACGAAGCGCCGGCCTGATACACCTTGGAGAGGAAGGTGAGGGAGGGAAGGCAACGGCGGGCCGAGCCGCCGCCGCCGGCGGCGACGGCGGCGGTGGCCAGCGGGGCATGACGGTACGCGACAAAGCCAATGGGTTCTGGTGTGGGCCTTCGGCCTGCCCCTTCTCCATTTTTGTGTTAGCCCGATTTGCATAACCATCTGTGGGCTACGCATTAACGCGCGGCCCACACTGCCTCATGCATCATCATAGCCCTCGAAATTGCACACAGTACAAAAAGCCCAAGGGACGGATAGTTTTTTTTTGTCCTCTGGAAATAATGAATAGCTATTTGAGTTCATTACCTCAAAAAAAAGTTATTTGAGTTAAAAAAATCGACTGGTGTAAAAGAAAATTCGATATTTTGAACTGAGGATTTTAATTACTCAGGTAGCAAAATTATTATGGCCACTTTTGTTTTGTTTTGCGAAAAGGGCTAAGGTCATATACTATTAAGATTCACAGGACCTTACAAACACACCCATGCAGAAAAATAAGATTACACTCAAAGAGTCAAGGGTGCCAACATCTTCTTCCTCGCATTCATTGGCGGTGCACCCATGAGCATAGCTTGATGCCACCTCTAGGCATTCGCCTTGCCGATGCAAACTTTTTCGGAACTCAGGAGCATGTAGAAGACTAGAAGTAGCCTTCGAAAAGTCATCGATACAGACCAGGAGACAGACGCCTGCCCCCGGCTAGGTTTTCACAATCACCTTTGCCCTTTTCTCACGAAGCGTTTTATACACATACCCTTTTAGGCAATAGAGATTATTAATTGATCAAAAGATTATTACAATCTCGAACAATTAGCTTTTTTAGAAAGCCAGTTAGTTTCGACACCAGGATTCAACACAATCATTGAACATGAATACCTGATCAACTATATTCTACAAAGTTGTAATAATTGCAACCTCATTTCCCTCCCTTTTGACACGTCCGGCAAAACAGTCATGGATCCCAGTAGTTGATCTCAAGCAGCAAGAACATGCCGACCACAATAAGATTTATAAGCCAATGGATCAAATATAGCATCAATACTAATTTTAATTTAACCATCGGATGAGGGCGCCAAAGGGGAAGAGGATTCTCCACCTGCAGCTGGCCACTGAAACCCACTTGGCAGTCAATCATAATCTGCTTCCCTTTGATGTTCCAGGGCACTCAGGTTACCTCACTGCAAGGAATCATAAGCATCTAGCGCCCTGCTAATGTTGTCAGTCTTGCGTTGTTAACAGAGTTCTCCGTTGCCTCTTCTGCATCATGCTTCCTCCCGACGGAATATAACAGCTGCTCTGGTGTTGTGAGTGGCATGGCCTTGTTGTCCAGCATAGACACGACTAACGACATTAGTGGCCTGGCACTTAGGCAGCCTTGGACACACAAAAGGCCAACATGGATGCACAAAGACACTTGATGCAGTGAACAGCTCTTCAGAAGCATCGTGTCCAGGAAATCCCTTGATTTTCCTTCTTTCAGGGAGTTCCATGCCTGAAACAAGGTCGAGGATTCATAAACATATTCACTATGTTATACTCGAGTGATACAAATTTGAAGCATTTAGCAGCACTTACGTAGTCTATAAGGTTTGGAAAATCCATTATAAGGTGATGGGGCGAACTGATCTTTAACCCACTTACAATCTCCAGCAACAAGACACCGTAGCTATACACATCGGCTTGATAGAAAAAATGCCTTCCATCACATATTCAGGCGACATATAGCCACTGTTTAAATTGCTTCACAACTGCCCAAAAGTATAATTAGTTGAAGCACATAAATGGTTTTTTAAGCATTATTAGTTTAGTGCAGGAGTTATTACTCACTATGTTCTGACAACATGTCTAGTATTTGCTTGTTGATGGCTGTCACCAAAGATCCTTGCCATGCCAAAATCTGATATTTTGGGTCTCATCTCCACATCCAACAATATGTTGCTTGTTTTGAGATCTCTGTGAATTATCGTCATTCTTGAATCATGGTGGAGGTACAGAAGTCCTCTGGCTATCCCTTTGATTATGCTAAACCTTGTTGGCCAATCAAGCATAGATTTTTTAGTATCATCTGCATGACAAGAACAAATTTTGTAAAGCTATGTTAGTCGTAACATCGGGCATGCTCCTTTGGTCAGCACAAGAATCATTCTAAGTGATCAGGACATACCAAAAAGGAAGTAGTCTAAGCTTTTGTTGGGTAAGTATTCATAAATAAGCAGCCTCTTATCTCCACGGATGCAGGAACCAAGAAGTCTAACTAAGTTTCTATGCTGCAGTTTTGCTATGAGAACTACTTCATTTCTAAAATGCTCTATTCCTTGTTCAGAATACTTGGTAAGCCTTTTAACAGCAACCTCCATGCCACTTTACAGCGTTCCCTACGAGGTTGTTCAGATTAATAATGAAGGAATGTCCTTCGCTACTCTAATTGTCAAAGTGAAATCTACAGTACCTTGTATACTATGCCAAAGCCACCTTTTCCAAGCAAATTGGAATCAGAGAAACCGTTTGTAGCAGGGACAATGTCTTTGAATCTAATCCACAGAAATTTCTGATCGCATGGTTCATCATAATTGCCCAATTGTCCCTCAATCAAGATATCGATGGATGCCTTTGTTTGGAGCTTGCCTTCAGTAATTAAGATCAATATGTTAAACACTAATGTATTAACATCGATGTATTTGGCTGCACAATCGAATATTGCCAACCTCTTGACTTGCATATCCAGACAAGACAAATGCACACAAGTAATGATAGAATTGACAAGACTGGAAGTGCAATCTTCAGCGCACCAGTCTTCTTTTTGCTCACTGCAAAAGTATATACAATGGAGATAATAATTAACAGAAAAAAAAGTAGATTGAAGAAGCATGCATATATATCCAGGTCAACTTTTGATTATGTTGACAAGGAGAGGTGCAAAAGGCAGAGTAAAAAACTAGGAGTATATATTGGATGTGACAATGTATCTTCTCACCAAACACGGAGTGAGCTACAATAAATAAAAATACCAGGGAGAAGTTATATTTAGTGTAAGATCGTCTGAGGTCACCAAACAAGCATATAAGCTCACGAGTATTTAAATGTCTACTAGGTAAAATGGTGAAATTTGAACCAACTTAGCATGAGAACTGCTGGCGATGGGGTTATCGCGGTTTGCGACCCACACGTATGTTGGCTCGGGGATGTGGTGGTACCATATGCCGATGTATGAGTTTGAAGTTGAGTTTGTCAGGGAGAAGAAGCCAAGAGCAAAGATGACACCATTTGAGACGAGCTTGTCACCGGGTGAGAGTGGCTTTGCCGGTGTTAGGCGATCATCGAACTTGCAGAAACAAATCAATAACAGGAGGACAAAAACTGGGAGGGGAGTCATGCCCATTAGTTAGGCCTTCTTCTACATATGCTTGTGAAGAGCAAGGCAATAAGATGGGATGCAGATGCTTGGGACTGGTAGCTTGGAGGGTTCAAACACACTAAGGTAGAAAGCCCAACACGGCTCGGAGATTTGGTATTCCTGACTGATGTGGCCGGTCACATTAACATGAGTTTTTATATCCAATACGTCCTCCTAGTCCTAGATGTGATAGGAAAAATTCTTGCCTTAGGTGTGGCTAGAACCAAACACCCATCTAACTTGATCAAATTTGCCTAAGATGAGCTGTGGCAAAGTATGGCAATATGTGGCTGAAAACCAAACAACCCCTAACTAACACCACACTGCCAGAAATATCCAGAATTGAGATCTCAACATCCAGCATCCTTGCCCTTCTATGGCAACAAGCAAGGGTTCACAAGTAATGTACAGTCCGCCGGGTAGCTCGCGGCGGTTTGGAGGTTGGCTTGGCTATCCAACCTAGATATCTGGTGGGACGAACACCGGGGACGCTGAACGCGGCACGAGCCATTGCAGCTGGAGGCGGCAGGGGAGGGACGTGGATTTTTAGAGCACTTGCATCCCGGTCCTGCTATCTTAGCTCTCCAATATCGCTTTAAGATCCGTGCGACACAACTACCTTTCTATATGAAATTTTCTCTTTTTTGATTCTTCCATATAGAACATATCTTGAAGTTCAAACCTATGCAACGTGGCAAAGCGTTCTAGCTAGAATCTAGGATAAATCTTTTAGAATTTTTTGTCCGAGATAAATACTAAAAATATTATTTTTAATCAAATAAAACGTATTTTGTATATTTATATTTGACAAAAAAATCTGAAAGATTTATCCTAGATTCTGCTTAGAAAGCTTTGCCACGCTGCATAGGTTTGAACTTCAAGATATGTTTTATGTAGGAGAAACAAAAAAGAGAAATGTATTTGCACGAACCGCGATGCGGAAATGGATGGCTAGATAGAGAGGACTTGGATGCATATGCTCTAATATATATTTTCGGGCAGGGGAGGGTGACCACGGCGGCGCGATGAGCTGCCAGTCGTGTGCTACTGCCGGCCTCGGGAGAGGAGGGCGTGGAAGATGAGGCGCAGGAGACGCACATTAGAGCATCTCCACTAGGGCCTCCAGGACGCCCCAAGCCCTTTTTTAGCACCGACAGTAAAAAAACGTCCCAGCCAGGCCCCCAACACATCGTTTTGCACAGGTTTTGGTGATAATTCCCGCCGGCACGCCCACCCCACACCCAGCCCCCTGGGGGGCAGCTGGGGACGCCGGCAATTGCCTTTTGCATGCGCAGGCCCACTTGGCAGCCCCTCTCTCTCCTCTCCCCCTTTCTTTCTTTTCTCTCCCCTCTCTCCTCCCCTTTTCCTTCCACCACCTACCGCACACAGCTCGTGCTGCCAGATGCAGCCCCGACGCCTCCCTCGCCTGGCGTCTCCAGCCCGCCCCGCATCTCCCCGGCGCAGTGAGCAGGGGGGCGGAGCTAGCGGGTCAAAGTGGGCGCGGCGGCCGGGCAAAGGCGGAGCCGGCTGATGACCCACAAGTATAGGGGATCTATCATAGTCCTTTCGATAAGTAAAAGTGTCAAACCCAACGAGGAGCAGAAGGAAATGATAAGTGGTTTCCAGCAAGGTATTCTCTGCAAGTACTGAAATAAGTGGTAACAGATAGTTTTGTGATAGGATAATTTGTAACGAGCAACAAGTAACAAAAGTAAATAAAGTGCAGCAAGGTGGCCCAATCCTTTTTGTAGCAAAGAACAAGCCTGGACAAACTCTTATAAAGAGAAAAGCGCTCCCGAGGACACATGGGAATATCATCAAGCTAGTTTTCATCACGCTTATATGATTCGCGTTCGGTACTTTGATAATTTGGTATGTGGGTGGACCGGTGCTTGGGTACTGTCCTTACTTGGACAAGCATCCCACTTATGATTAACCTCTATTGCAAGCATCCGCAACTACAACAAAAGGATTAAGGTAAACCTAACCATAGCATGAAACATATGGATCCAAATCAGCCCCTTACGAAGCAACGCATAAACTAGGGTTTAAGCTTCTGTCACTCTAGCAACCCATCATCTACTTATTACTTCCCAATGCCTTCCTCTAGGCCCAAATAATGGTGAAGTGTCATGTAGTCGACGTTCACATGACACCACTAGAGGGATGACAACATACATCTCATCAAAATATCAAACGAATACCAAATTCACATGACTACTAATAGCAAGACTTCTCCCATGTCCTCAGGAACAAACGTAACTACTCACAATGCATAAACATGTTCATAATCAGAGGGGTATTAATATGCATATAGGATCTGAACATATGATCTTCCACCAGATAAACCAACTAGTATCAACTACAAGGAGTAATTAGCACTACTAGCAACCTACTAGCACCAATCCCGGACTTGGAGACAAGAATTGGATACAAGAGATGAACTAGGGTTTTCAGAGGAGATGGTGCTGATGAAGATGTTGATGGAGATTGCCCTCTCCCGATGAGAGGAGCGTTGGTGATGACAATGGCGATGATTTCCCCCTCTGGGAGGGAAGTTTCCCTGGCAGAACAGCTCTGCCGAAGCCCTAGATTGGATCCGCCAAGGTTCCGCCTCGTGGCGGCGGAGTTTCGTCCGAGAAGATGACTTCTTATTTTTTTCCCATCGAAAGACTTCATATAGCAGAAGATGACCACCGGAGGGCCACCAGGGGGCCCACGAGGTAGGGGGACGCGCCCAGGGGGTAGGGCGCGCCCCCACCCTCGTGGGCAGGGTGTGGCCCCCCTGGTGAATCTCTTCCGCTGAGTATTTTTTTATATATTTTGAAAATGTCTTCCGTGAAGTTTCTGGACTTTTGGAGCTGTGCAGAATAGGTCTATAATATTTGCTCCTTTTCCAGCCGAGAATCTCAGTTGCCGGCTGTAACACCCTCGATGCGACTATAGCTCCCACGTGTCGAGGCACAACTTAGAGACATAATCGCATTGAAGGCATATGTCGCAAGTTAGGCAATCTTCACAAACATCCCATGTAATGTAATAATAAAAGGGGAGAACATAGTTGGCTTACACTCGCCACGTCAATCAAGTACAAAAATAACATTACATCATCCAAAACACTCATGGCCCGACTACGGCGCCAAAATAGAAGAAAACCCAACATGCGACAACGGTCCCAATCACCCCCAACTGGGCACCACTACTGATCATCAGGAAAATACACGTAGTAACGCTGAGAGTCCTCGTCGAACTCCCACTTGAGCTCGTACTCTTCACCTGGAGCAGAATCACCTGGACCTGCATCTGGAGTTATAATATCTGTGAGCCACAGGGACTCAGCAATCTCGCACCCTCGCGATCAAGACTATTTGAGCTTATAGGAAGGGTAAGGCAAATATAAGTGGAGCTGCAGCAAGCGACTAGCATATGTGATGGCTAACTTATTCGCAAAAGAGAGCGAGAAGAGGAGGCAAAGCACGAGCGAGAATCTAGAGGAACAACCTGCGCAAGTATAACTCCAACACCGTGTCCACTTCCCGGACTCCGCCGAGAAGGGGCCATCACGGTAACACACACGGTTGATTCATTTTAATTAATTAAGGTTCAAGTTATCTACAACCAGACATAAACAAATTCCCATCTGCCCATAACCGCGGGCACGGCTTTCGAAAGTTCAATCCCTGCAGGGGAGTCCCAACTTAGCCCATGACAAGCTCTCACGGTCAACGAAGGAATAGACCTCCTCCCAAGACGTTTCGATCAGACTCGGTATCTCGGTAACTCAAGACACTTCGACAGGTTAAAACAAGACCAGCAACACCGCCCGAATGTGCCGACAAATCCCGATAGGAGCTGCACATATCTCTTTCTCAGGGCACACTCAGATGAGCGCTCCATACAACTAAAACCAAACCTCGAGTTTCCCCGAGGGGGCGCTGCACATGACTCTAGTTTGGACCAACACTCAGAGGAGCACTGGCCCGGGGGGTTTAAATAAGATGACCCGCGGGCTCCGGAAACCCGAGGGAAAAGAGGCTAGGTGGCAAATGGTAAGACCAAGGTTGGGCATTGCTGGAAAAGCTTTAATCAAGGCGAACTATCAAGGGGTTCCCATTATAATCCAACCGCGTAAGGAATGCAAAATCCGGGAACATAACACCGATATGACGGAAACTAGGGCGGCAAGAGTGGAACAAAACACTAGGCGAGAGGCCGAGCCTTCCACCCTTTACCAAGTATATAGATGCATTAAGATAACATAGCAATATAATGATATCCCAACAAGTAAATAAAAGATGTTCCAACAAGGAACAGCCTCCAATCTTCACCTGCAACTAGCAACGCTATAACAGGGGCTGAGCAGAGCGGTAACATAGCCAATCAACGGTTTGCTAGGACATGGTGGGTTAGAGGTTGACATGGCAATTTGGGAGGCTGACAAGCAAAAGGTAGGCATCGTAGCATTGGCATAGCAAGAGCAAGCAAACTAGCATAGCAAAGATAGTAGTGATTTCGAGGGTATGATCATCTTGCCTGCACAGTTGTCAGAGTTGACTGGATCCTCAAAAGCAAACTCAACGGGCTCCTCGTTAGCGAACTCGTCTCCCAGCTCTACCCAAACAAGACAAACAAGCAACAAGGATACAATCAACCATGTGCAAGACCAAGCAATATGATGAAATGATGATATGCTATGCGGGATGCGATGCGGGATGCAAAATGCAAGATATGACAGGAAATGCATGAACCTGGCCTAAACTTGGAATTCCAAGGGTGCCACTGGAAAGATGAGATGAAATCGCTTGAAAACGATATAAAGAACGCCGGAATCGGAGTTACGGTTTGGAAATGGCAAGCGTTTCAAAAATGACACCGGCCTGCGATTTACAGCAAGTAGGCATCTAAATGCAATGAGTTGAACATGCTACAGCACCCAAACATGACAACAAAATGCATGGCAGGGATGTACACAAGATGCTTAACAA